ATTTTATTCATTAACTACTCGATTAGCTTTCCCTCTTCCCATATTTTTGATATTGAAAGCTCTGGCCTACTTTACGTAAATGGGCCATCAATAGAAGGTCTCACTAGTTCTCTGAGCGCTCACCGTTCCATGCCACGGTCTTTTACTTGCTCAGGCAGGTAAAACAATCTTGAAAAATAGCTTGCGTACATGTCAAGTCAATCGTCCAGTTAAGGAGACGCACAGTTGAGTTGTAAATATCTCATTTCTAGTAAATTATTACTCTTAAATTTACAGTTGGTCGACACAGTGATGGAGTTGGTGAGTAATTTCCCTTTTTCTTTTAATTCAAGGTGATTCAACAGAAAAAAAAAGCTTTCGAGCAATTTTTTTAAACTTTCCTTGAATGTTCCCTACCAATGTCTGTTTCGAAAAATATAATCAAAGCAATAGGTCACCGTGCTTGTTTAAGAGATGCGTCGGGCCAAATTTACGCCCCTTTCCCCTGTACAACAGGCACTAATCACACGCGTTATTACATTAGTTCAAGGTACATTTTGCTGTAGTTGGAAAAAAGGGTTTTTACAGGTAGAAAGTCTCCAGCGTATGGAACAATTTAATATATAATCTGTGTAGAAATCACCCAATTTTAAATGACATCAACTCAAAACGTTCCTCAAGTCGTTGCTCAAGGTTGTAATTTGCCTATAATAAAGACCTTGTAGACCTTTACTTCTGAGCTGTTGGCTCGCGATTCGCGAGCCAACAGCTCAGAAGTCGCGAAAGTGAACTCTTGATGAAATTCCCACCCCATGCCAGCCAGAAGAGTTGGTGTGATGTCTGTGCAGATTTTACCAACCTAATGAATGTAAATGAAAGGTTCAAATACCCCACCTCCTGAGCACAGATGACAGTCAAATGCCCGTGGGATGCGCCTAACCAAGCATGAGGGTCGAACCTAGAAATATTGGCCTGAGGTATAATAACAACCGAAGGCCAACATTTCCCAGAGGTTGTAAGTAGTTTATTATATGGCACTAGGACCAGACTTGATAATTCTTAATTTGCTGGCTTTTACGAACTAAAATACATGGCTTACGACCGTTTACATGGAAAAGGTCTGTGGAGCAAAACATGGAGGTCAGGCGGAACAAATTTACAAGGCCACAGCACACAACAGTTTACCACGGCTGAACCAATCAAAGTGGATCATTCACAGAAGGTTGAACTGGTACTCTGGCTTGTAGCCAGGTGATATTTCACATGGCACATTAAAAAAGGGTAGGTCAACTATTTGTTACAGAAGAGTTAGTCCTCCGTCCTTAGCTCAACTTTCAGCCATTGTTTTGCAAATGAGCTTGTGTTCTATGTACAAGGCAGGACTTAGAGGGTGGCGCTGTTTGACCCGCTAAATATCTCCCGGTATTAGAAGGCTTTTCAAGCTACAGCTTTTCTTAAGATAGCCCCGAGCAATCAAGAAGTACAAAACGTTTTACAGGGAATTTTATCACAGTCGTTCTCAACGGAGGAAATCAGGTGAAAGTGGGTTTCTCCAAAATTGACGTGAGTTGTAGCTGTAAATTTCTTTGTTGAAATTATTTTTTCATATCTTTATATTTTTAGAGATGGAGAAGATCTAGAATTCTCCAAAGGTGAATGTAAACCGCTATCAACTCTGACTCCACCAGCTGTCCAAGCTAAGAATAGAGCAAACAGAATGGGAGTCGGTCCAAAAAGTATATTCTAATTGCTTTTGGGTTTGTCTAGTTAACAGATGACACCAGATTGTGTTAAGAAATTACATAACCTGAATACAGGCATTTTGATTGTTTTTTCTTCTTATCTATTGGAGGATAGATGCACAGACGACGTTAATATCAACAAGATTTTGCTTCTTTATTAATGAAACGTAGATTCCAAGTTGCCGTAAGTCTGTTCAGTAACAGATCAAAGAAGACGTAAAATGTGGCAATGGCCATGCGGCTAGAACAATTCATTTCAGCGAAATTTTGCAGTATTTTGTCAACTAGCGAGTAAAACTACCAGAATAAAAGAATCTGTTTAGAAAGGGGATTTGTAGTCTTCATGTACATTACAGTAATAATTATGAAAGCACCTTTTCTCTCAAACAAAAATTTTTATTTCATCTTAAAAGCAAGATTACAGTTTGGCCTCCTTGCGCAACTTCTTCAGTTCAGCTTTGAGAACTCTGTTTTTCTATAAAGCAAAACAAACGCTTTCATTAAACACTACTTTAAAAACATGATTATTGTATTTCCTTGAATAACTTAGCAACCACGTTCTAAAAAGCGCTCTTCCCTGAATAAACACCAACCCCTTTGGCCATATTATCAAACAAGCACCCATCTCGAATATAGGGATACAAAGAAAGCCTTTCTATTGCCAGTTCACTTACAACTCTTTAAGCTTCAACTACAGCAGAATCAGCACAAGTTGATTATTTCTTTATAAGACCCCTCCTTCTAGCACCCAAGCCCTTAATCGAGGAAACACTTTGGGAGCATTTACAACAGCCTCAACAAGCCCAATACCGTAAGGACGGTAGCCATGTCAGTTTAAAATCGACCTTGAGCCCTCATATGGATAAACCTCATATAACTATCAAAGTCTCTTTTGTGAACAGGGGGTCCATACATATAGAGAGGGTTGAAAGAAAAATTTCTAAGGTTGGAAATTTCTACAACCCTGAAGGCATATGTAACATGCAACTTGGTTATTTTCAGTTAACTAAACTGGAGCTGCATGCAAATCTCTAAGTTTGAGAAGTTTCCCACTCAGAAATAAAATTAGCAATAAATCTGGCCCCACATGAATAAAAAACTAACAATCACTAACAATCAAGAAAGTTGTTTCTATTTTATGGAGCCACAAATGTTTTCAAAATAAGAAAACTTGTCTCAAATGCATTGCAAAGAAAACTCCTAGCCACAGATGAGGAGGTGAACCTCAAACCTAAAAATATCAAGAAACTAACCTTCTGCAAAAAAACAACAACAAAAAAAAATTACCATCCCCATGTAACAGTTTGGAAAGTGATTTTCACAATTAAAGGCCAAAGTTTGAAATTTTTTTACATGACCCAGGAACACTGGGTATATCAGCTGGAGGTTTAGTGGTAAAATTCCAAGGACAATATGGTGAACACTAAGAGTGGCATTTATTTCAAAACCATTCTTTCCATAAGTCACTGACAACAGTTACACTATACACTGTATCACTGCAAGTATTCAGTATGCAAAACAGAAACATGTGCAGTGTATTCAAGCTGTATTTGTCAGTGGCAGATCCAGGGGGAGGGTCCGGGAGGTCTGGACCCCCCTATCAGACCTGACGCTTACAACTTTGAGACTAAAATTCTTACATCCGCAGGATCGTATATCACTTTTTAACTGGCTGATTTTTTAAATTAATGAATCCAAGTAAACGGTAAGCGGCCAAGAAACTATAGCGTGCAACTGCGACTGGTGGGAGGGGGTGTGGGGAGTGTGGGGGAGAAGTAATTTGCCTCAAAAGAGTCCAACAGCCCTTTCTGAACCAAAGTTTGGACCCCCCAAATCAAAAATTCCTGGATCCGCCCCCGCTTGTCATATATTTTAAATTATGAGATAAGTTAAATTACTCTTGACTTTTGATTGGTTATAACCTACAATCTATTGACAAACTCTATCTTTAAAATATATTCCAAATTAATTACTAGTTAAAAGAGATAAGATAATTGCCATGATAAAATATAAGCACTGAAGTTATTATGAAAAAAATTAAGCAATTTCTTGCAATAAAAAATTAGCATCAAACTTATCATAAAAAAAATTAAACAATTTCTTGTGAAAGACTGGTAAGGCATTAGATTCCCAAGTGCTGAGAGGAAATATTCATTCCATGCGCCACAAATCTGAATAAAAAAATAATTCTTAAAAGTCACTGTATAACTAAAATAGGACATCAAGTGTCAAATAATCAATATTTCTGAAAAGTTTGTTCCAAGAGCAAAACAACACACTGTTAAAAATATCAGCTACATTCTCAAAACATTTGAAAAAGAATCCTTAATCATTGATTACCCTTTGATATTGAGGGGGTAATAAATTTAATTTACTAAGGCACTGTTAATCAGTATATTCCTTGCTGAAAATTAATCCTGTAGTCCTGCATTGAATTTTTTCCAAGTTGGTATTGTTTCTTACTTTTTGGCCAAAGGATGCATACATAATGTCACCAATAACAATTAACATTTTGCTTTGTTATCATACAAAACATATAGACTC